AGTGGTTTGCAACAGAGCTGCACACTGATCTAGTGGTTTTCAACAGAGCTACATACTGATTTAGTGGTTTGCAACAGAGCTGCACACTGATCTAGTGGTTTGCAACAGAGCTGCACACTGATCTAATGGTTTGCAACAGAGCTGCACACTGATTTAGTGGTTTGCAACAGAGCTGCACACTGATTTAGTGGTTTGCAACAGAGCTGCACACTGATTTAGTGGTTTGCAACAGAGCTGCACATTGATCAGTGGTTTGCAACAGAGCTGCACACTGATTAGTGGTTTGCAACAGAGCTGCACACTGATTTAGTGGTTTGCAACAGAGCTGCACACTGGATCTAGTGGTTTGCAACAGAGCTGCACACTGATCAGTGGTTTGCAACAGAGCTGCACACTGATCTAGTGGTTTGCAACAGAGCTGCACACAGGGTGAGAGGTTTGCAACAGAGCTGCACATTGATCGAGTGGTTTGCAACAGAGCTGCACACTGATCAAGTGGTTTGAAACAGAGCTGCACACTGATTTAGTGGTTTGCAACAGAGTTGCACTCTGATTTAGTGGTTTGCAACAGAGCTGCACACTGATCTAGTGGTTTGAAACAGAGCTGCACACTGATCAAGTGGTTTGAAACAGAGCTGCACACTGATCTAGTGGTTTGCAACAGAGCTGCACACTGATCTAGTGGTTTGCAACAGAGCTGCACACTGATCTTAGTGGTTTGCAACAGAGCTGCACACTGATCAAGTGGTTTGCAACAGAGCTGCACACTGATCTAGTGGTTTGCAACAGAGCTGCACACAGATCTAGTCGTTTGCAACAGAGCTGCACACTGATCAAGTGGTTTGCAACAGAGCTGCACACTGATCTAGTGGTTTGCAACAGAGCTGCACACTGATTTAGTGGTTTTCAACAGAGCTGCACACTGATTTAGTGGTTTGCAACAGAGCTGCACACAGGGTGAGAGGTTTGCAACAGAGTTGCACTCTGATTTAGTGGTTTGCAACAGAGCTGCACATTGATCAAATGGTTTTCAACAGAGCTGCACATTGATCTAGTGGTTTGCAACAGAGCTGCACACTGATTTAGTGGTTTGCAACAGAGCTGCACACTGATCAAGTGGTTTGCAACAGAGCTGCACACTGATCTAGTGGTTTGCAACAGAGCTGCACACAGATCTACGGTAGTCGTTTGCAACAGAGCTGCACACTGATCAAGTGGTTTGCAACAGAGCTGCACACTGATCTAGTGGTTTGCAACAGAGCTGCACACTGATTTAGTGGTTTGCAACAGAGCTGCACACAGGGTGAGAGGTTTGCAACAGAGTTGCACACTGATTTAGTGGTTTGCAACAGAGCTGCACATTGATCAAATGGTTTTCAACAGAGCTGCACACTGATCTAGTGGTTTGCAACAGAGCTGCACACTGATTTAGTGGTTTTCAACAGAGCTGCACACTGATTTAGTGGTTTGCAACAGAGCTGCACACAGGGTGAGAGGTTTGCAACAGAGCTGCACATTGATCTAGTGGTTTTCAACAGAGCTGCACACTGATTTAGTGGTTTTCAACAGAGCTGCACACTGATTTAGTGGTTTGCAACAGAGCTGCACACTGATCAAGTGGTTTTCAACAGAGCTGCACACTGATC